AAGTTGTGATCATTCATATCCCACTTCATGCCTATCATTTTAAGTGAGAATATAAACAAATGGGTGAAGAACACGGTGTTGCATAATTCAGATTGCATTTGTAATTTGCAATTATTACAAAGTCACTTTTTTACATGCCGTTTCCTACAAAGGAATCTTGGAAAGAATTGTAGAATAAGCTATTGGGGTTAATATTTCTGAGCAAAATTCAAAGTGGTCCACTGGCTCTCTCCTCCTTCCCTTGAAAAGCAATCGCGTACAAGCTGTGACCAAATGGTTTTGTATTTGTTTAAGGGTTTTGAAGAACTAATCTTTTACTAATCAATTAAGAACAGAAGTACACGAAACTACTCAAACTATGCTAGGTTGTATGGTATTCCCAAAACCATTATATTCTTAAATGGAGGTGATGAATATGGTACGTTGTACGTAATTTAGTATAGATTTTGGGCATAAGGAGAACTGAATATATGATGAATTATGATTTTGCTATATATGTTTTACGACCCATTTGCGTTCTTCCATCCCATAGCTTAAGACTAAACAGTTCTGATCATATAGCTGATCTTAGCCTATTCGTCGTGTATCACGTTAGAAATTATTGACAAGATGATCCAATTCTGTTTGTTTAATTTTAGTCAAGATATGTAATTATTGTGTCCCCATATATCATCTATAATTTCATTATATACACGGATAATATAAGTAATTAATCAATGTAAAAAATGAGTAACGCGATTTTCTCACATTTCAAATAAATACAATGCACATAAACCTGATATCATATGGTTTATATTGATACGAATTCTAATGTAGGAGAAATGGAGTTTCGATATCCTCAGAGAATATCAAATTGCAGGTGATTAAAATTATGATAAAAGGTAAGGAAAATTTAATTTATTCGACTTTACACAAAGTCATGAGTAAATTGGAATCAAACATGTTGCACGCACGTGTCAAGTTTCGAGCTAAATATAGATAGAAATTATACTGTTTTTTTTTTTTTGTTCTCCTTTATTGTTTAGGGAGTTGGCGAAAGGGATTAAAATCATTCAATTATTAGAACACAGTTTTTGTTTCTGTACAGTAAAGCTGGTTTTTTTTTTTAAAATAATTACTGAAATATTTATATTTAATCAAATATGAACAAATAATTTTCAAAGTTAGGTAAGATATGAAGATGTAAATGCAATGATTAGAGAAGAAAATGTTTTTGAAACTTATGATTCATTCGGGGCCATGGACATTCACCTTCTAATCATTTTCATAAACCCAGTTGAAGATTATTACTGCAAATTCTAACAAGTAATCAATCTTTTTATAAAACTTTTGCAAATAATATCACACAGAAGAATTCTATTTATTGAGTAGGGTTAAAAAGACAATAGAAATTTGGAGAGAGAGAGGATGAGAATGGAGTTCTTAGGAAAAGCGGAGCTGGGGGAGTTGAGCTGGGTAATAAAGGAATAGTGGATGGCTAGAGATGTGGACGCGTAGTCCACGTAGGACGGTGGTGGTCGGCCGTAGTCACCAATCATGCGGCGGACCGCATCATTGAACTCATTAAACATCTCCAATTGCGGTCCCTACCACCATCGAAAACCTTCACTCTCAAAGCTGGGGCGGTGAGCCAAAGAGAAACTATATAAAAATATCTTAAATTTATAATCAATAATAACTTTGTACACAAATATATGAGAAAAAAAAAAAATGTGGAGATAAACGGAGTTTGCGTAACCAGCAAAAGGAGATCCTTGGGGGTCCCTATTAGGATCTTAACTCTTTTGACATCGACCCTTCTCCAAACTCTCTCTCTCTCTCTCTCTCTCTCTCTCTCTCTCTCTCTCTCTCTCTCTCTCTCAGAGCTGTGAATGAATCTAAAGAATAAATATTAACAGCTTACCAATTTGTTTAGGTATTTTAATTTGTGTTTAATGGCGGTTGGTGAAGATAAACCATCCATTTATATCTACTCTTATTTTTTTATGTTTTTTTTTTTTTTTAACTCAAAACTCTTCAGCTTCACTCTTCTCTTTATCTTTACTACTATAGCAATTACCAAAGACATTAAAGGTGTGAAACAGAAGCTTCTTCCAAGGGACAAAAACTATGATTGCTCCCTCGTAGGTACTAATTCTAACACTTGCATTGACGGGAAATTAAATATTTATACTTTTCTAGACCCTCATCACATCTTCACTAAGGAAAGTAGCTATTTAGACCCCATTTGACGAAATTGTTTCAGTACCTTATCTCTGGATTTGTGGAGAGTAAAAAAGTTCAGTTTTAATTAATTACTATGGTAATTTGTCGTTCTCTGGGTTGATGATTGATCATCATGCGAATTAGAGTGGACATCCTGTGGCTAATTCATACATCATCATATTAATTTTAAAAGTTAGTGGTATATACTCTTTCTCAAATGGTTGAATAATATTGTAACCCTGGCATTATGCTAGAATCATCAAAAGCAGAAAACCTCAAGTATTGGAATTTCAATTACTTCACTACACTTGGTGTCTCAGCGAAGGATAACTGAAAGGCAATTATCAAAATAAAGCCATCAAAGAAACCCTCCATTTTGAAGTTTTTCACTGGTATATTTTTGTACGTGCAACATGTTCATTGGCTTTGTCATCTGAAAGGTATAAACCACGTGGAATTGAACGACTTGATCGTAGAGGATCTGAAGAATATTATGATTTAGATGGATCCGTATTTGAACAGGAAGTCTGAAGGAAGACGAATGGGCCATTGATTAAGAAAGAATGGGGAAATAAATAGATGGCATGATAGTCACTGGTGAGCTAAGGGATCGTGCAGCAACAGGTGAATGAATGGATGGTGGTTTTTAAAGGGTAATTGGTAATTCCTACTACTGATCTCTGTCTCTGCCCCGTGTTCTTGAGAGCTCTCTCTATAAGTGGGGGGTCCAATTCTAATTGATGATTACGCGTATGAATTGACAAGTTAGATCTGTTTGCTTGCTTGCCTTGCACAGACATTCCTCTTTTTGTTTTAGATACAAACTTTGCCTTGATCATGAGTGTGTTGTTTGTCAAAAAGGATGGTTCTTGGGGTGGCATTACTTTTTATGTTTTTTCTTTTTTCTTTTTTCTTTTTCCTAGTCAAGTTACTTTCTTATTCAACTTCGATTGCCCCTGTCACGTCTCATAAATGACACAAACCCAATTTGTAGTATGTCCATTATTAGTGTTTCTGCTCTTAAAATCTTGAAATTACTGCATATGTGGAACAATAAAACTAAAATGAAACGCGGATATGCAGAAGCATTAAGCTAAAACTGTCGAATGGGATTTGAATGCCTCACCAAAATCAAAATATTTATGGTTTTTCACAAGCATTAAGTAAATATAGAACATGATCAGGTCGGTTGAAATTGAATTATTGTATAGATCATTGCATAATAATGGATTCTCCATGAAGTTTTCTGGTCATTATTAAGAATGATAGTGAGAATATTGTTAATATTTTTGCCATTTGATCTAGAGTATGTTAGCTATATAGAGAATTAAAATGGAGTAATCACAAAAGCTAAATGAAAACCACCAATATATAAATAAAATGATTGCATTTTGGATGGGGTGTAGTCCACATATCCACGGATAATTATTTCTAAGTAATGCTTCTATTTCTATAGATTTGCTTTGGGGACCTATTATTTAATTGACTTGAATGAATGATAACTAAAATGAACGTGTGGCTGAATACTTGTATTAGAAGACGCTAACATTTTCTCAAAGTGAAAATGAGTTTGATAATCTGCAGTTCATCATAACAACAGTACCACACAGTAAGTAAAGCACAATCGATGATGGGGAAATTTACTTAAGACTTTGGGAACGAAAGCAAATTGAATCATGTAAACTGATGTCTTTTTACCTAAAACTTAATCACATTGTTTTGAAGATTAAGTTAAGCATTTGCATGTTCATTAAAGCATGCATTAATTAAATTACTTGTTGCCATGTAATTTGATCTGACTTTGAAGTTCATAGTAAAAAAAAAATTAGAAGATAAAGTAAATTAAGTCCAATAACTTATGGCAATCTATTATAAACCACTTAACCTTCATTGTAATAATGTGATTGCTTGTATAATTTGCATCCTTTTTCGCAAAGCAATTGCTTGTAGCAAAATGATTCTTTGTTTTACTCTCCATTACATCAGTCTGCAATGAGATATTTGATATGAATACCAGATGCTGCATGGTTAATTTCAATTCAATCATTTGGTAAAGAATGAAAGAAGCAAAAATAGAAGCTAGCTAGTTCAATAGTGTTGGAAGATGATAAAGACAATTAGGTTTTTTTATTTTTTTTAACGACGGGGGGTTTTTGGGTTAGCTTATGCACACCTTAACTAATCTTCCGAGACCTTGAAACTATCAACTGGGTAAGAACTTTAGTAGCTACCCCTATTAGCAACTGAGAATGGATTTAAACTCATAACCTCTTTAGTAATATATCCAAGAGTCCTTATTGAACATAATTAGGCTTCTTGATTCGTAGATCCTAGGTTGGTGTGAAAAAATTCAATACCAAATTACCAAAGCAAAACAAAATGATGTCCTCAGAATTATATACAATAAAAATAGACTAACAAACCCTTCTCACTAATTTTTTTCTCACAATCACGACGTGTCAACTCGCAATTGGTTAGTTCGTAATTGGTTAGGCAGGACTCATTACAAATTGACCAATTACGAGCTGTGACATGTTATATTTGTGAGAGAAAATTAGTGAGAAATATTTGTCAATATAGTATTACCCAATTATATATGGAGCGAACCCATGACTCAACATTGACATTGAGAAAGATCAGCCCATGGGCTTATCTCCTTAGTTAAACGTAAATGAATTACTCAAAATTGGATCTTACTTAAGCCCAAGCCCAAGCCCAAGCCCAAGCCATTGTAAGAAGAAACAGAATCTATGTGGCCCACTACACGTTTCCCATGTGCTGTCTTCTTCCGTATGAAACTTCCTCCAGTATTTCCCGTCTTCTTCTCCAATCCTGTTCCCCCACCAAAAGAAAAAATCCTCACTTTTGCAAATCTCTCCATAACCTAACAATTAACAAAAGAAAAAAAATGTCAACCACGTTCAGCGGAGATGAAACGGCACCGTTTTTTGGCTTCCTTGGCGCCGCAGCTGCCCTTGTTTTCTCATGTATAATCCTTTACCCTGAATCCACACTCTTTATTAATTTCGTTGTTGTTTCGAGAAACAATAAAATGAAATGAAATGAATGATTTCAGGTATGGGAGCAGCGTATGGAACGGCAAAGAGTGGAGTGGGCGTGGCATCAATGGGAGTGATGAGACCAGAGCTGGTAATGAAATCGATAGTGCCAGTTGTTATGGCTGGAGTTTTAGGTATTTATGGTTTAATTATTGCGGTTATTATTAGTACTGGTATTAACCCGAAGGCCAAATCCTATTACCTTTTTGATGGCTACGCTCATTTGTCTTCGGGTCTCGCTTGTGGTCTCGCTGGCCTCTCTGCTGGCATGGCTATCGGTATTGTTGGTGATGCCGGGGTTAGGTATTTACTATTCCCTTTATTATTTATTTATGTTGTAATATTTTCATTGCAAATCAAAGTTAGATTGAATTCTATTACCCAATTTCATGCTGCTAACATCAATTGTTGATCATACTTGCGTGTATTTCATTCTCTAAGCTATATAAGTGTCTATCTTTAGCTAAAAATTAGCAAATTTATTGATTTCGGATTCATAAACAGAGTTGTTGTGGCTTTGCATTCATTGAATTGCTTACTACTTCAAGTGATCAACCTTAAACTAATGTTTCTTTGGCGATTCTTTAATGGGATCCTAGGATGAAGATATTGAAATGGTGAATTGTTCTAGTCAAGAAAAACGGAATCTTAATTACTTGATTATTGCTGTTGTTGTATAATTTATGTTGTATTTTGACATGGCTGATCTGTCTTACAATTGCTTAAGGCATTACAATAGTCATTTTATCAAGTTATTCTTGGATTTGCCACTGGCAATAGTTGGCTTATTTTAGCCTGGGTTACCTATTAACTGCTTTAGTTCCATCATGTTTAGTTAGATTATCAGTTTGGTTTTGTATGTCTTTCCATCAAAAGAATTTGCTCTCTGAAATTAGATTGCATTTTTTTTTTTTTTTTTTTTTTTTTTTTTTGTTAGGGCTAATGCACAGCAGCCAAAGCTTTTGTGGAATGATTCTTATTCTCATATTTGCTGAGGCATTGGCATTGTATGGCCTCATTGTTGGCATATCTTGTCATCCCGAGCTGGCCAATCCAGAGAGAATAGCTTGATCGAATGGGTTGTTGGCATTACGAGGTGGGTGATGTTTAGAACAACATATGAAGCATGCAATCGAGTGTTTTGTATAATTAGGAGCAAGTTTTTTCCTTGAAATAAGCTTGCTAAGTGGTTCTCTTATGATTTTCTGTATTTTACTGTGACTTCAGATTTCTGTTAAAACCACATTGATAAAACCACTGCTGCATATTATTTGTCCTCTTTGGTAGAAATTTTTTTCTTTCTGATTTCATACTATGATTTAACCATATCTATATTTTCCGTATGATCGACACGACAATCTTTTCAAAGAATGAATAAAAAAGTAGATATTGATGATTCATGTGTATCACAGAAACTTGATGCATAATCAGATCCTTATAAGAAAAGTACATAATAATTCTCAGTACAAAGCCAAGTTTGGCTAGTAATTAAACATATAAATTAAACATGAAAAACACTTCAAAATCTTTTGCTTATCAATGAATACTAAATGCATATTAAATTATTTACAAAGTCACTACAGTCCAGTTCAATTCAATGGTTGGTTTTGAATTTTCTAGTTATCAACCCTAAATTTCTCAAATTAACTAATCATAGATACACTGATACTAAAGCAAGTAAAATCTGCAGATTCTCAAATCTATACAAAAAAGGCAACTAAAGAAAGAAAACATAAAACTATTCATACTCATCATCATCAAACATATAACTATTCATATTCATCATCAAACATATAAATATACATATTCCAAAAGGGTAATACTACATTTATAACTGAATTCACAAACTTTCTCTCACAATCCCGACTTGGCTGCTTGCAAATGAGTTTTGTCCATTTGGAGCTGATCAATTAGCTACCACGTCGGGGTTGTGAGAGAACGTTTGTAAATTGGGTGGAGTTAATCTTATCCTTCCAAAAACCCAAATAATGACATTGAAACATCTCCAAGATCTTGTCCTTGAACAAGAACCTTCTACACAATATTTTGCTTCATAAATCTCTTGTCCTAAAAGGGACCCTGTCTCCAAAAGCAAAAGTAGGCAATCTCATAACTGCCTTGAGACAATTCTGCAAACACGAGAGAGGAAGGGATTGGCAACAACTAGGAGTCTCTCATGAGTAAGCTGTGCTTATATGAGAACTGAACAAAATCAATGGCATAAATATAGTAAGAAAAAAAAAACATATGGCAATAAGAGCAACAGTCCCATACAAAGAGTTGTAACCCAGATATGGCCAATAATGTTTGTTTCCAAGCAAAAGGAAGGTAAGCTTCATTAACTTCCCTTCAAGTTTGGACCAATTAAAATAGAAACCCCTTGGTCAGAAAATAGTCATAGACCTCCCTTGAAGAAGAAATTTCCTATAATTTACAAACTTCATGAGAGTTCCTATATCAATTTTAAGAAGACTATTTCTACCTGTAATCAGCCTCAATCACAAAACCATAGATCAACTACAGTAAACAACAATTAGGTACAAAAAAGCATTCTTTAGAGTTAAAATCTTCCTAAACACCATATAGAATGAACTAAAACTTGAGATCATTAACATAATCTCTCCCATACCTGGAAAAAATACTTTGCCGAAAAACTAAAGGAAAATTTATGAACACAGTCTACATGAGATGCAAGCCATCGACAGGTTCTGGAATTGAAAAATCCACCAGATTTCCATCTATTAAGAAGTTCAAATGTTTGACACCGAATAAGGAGGATGAAAATTTGTCCCAATTAAAGTTTCCAAGAAGTTGAATACGCTTAATGAAAAATTGAGTTCATAACCATCAATGTAAAGCTCAGTTTTTTACAAGGCCACGCCCACAGCATTTGAAGTAAAGGATATTACCGGGGACCCCTAAATTTGAATATACTTAAATTAGGTGTCTCAAGCTTTACTTCAACCCGAGGAACCAAAAAAGATCCATAGATGACCAATTCCTTAAGACTAGGACTTGAAATTTTGATTCACCTTAACTTACAACAATTAGTTATGCTTTAAGTACTGGAGGAGTGAAAATTCTGAATTACATTGCATAATGAATCATCCATTGTTGAAAGCTTCGATAATATTAAGCATTTCAAATTCTTACATTAGGCTACATCGATCTGACATGCTTAATTTCAGTTATTGTCACTGAGTGAACATTCAATGCTTTGATCTCCACCTTTTCAAGTTCATCATTGTTACTACCTTTAGATGAATCAACGTTAGATACTCAATCAAAGGGCACATAGCAACGAGACTCTCAATCATTTGATTATCTGCATAAACCTCCTCCAAACCACATTTCCTCAAAACTAACACATCTAAGGATTCCGCAAAATAAACAATTTGACGTAAACTGGAAATCGAAGTTTAAGCTCTTGACGTTACTTCCAGTTGCATTGCAAACACATTGATCTACCAACACTGTAAATTCTGGAACCAACCAAAAAGATGAAGACATCGAAATTGTAAGCTACCTTGTACTTATCCTCTCCATCTGATGGTACAGTAAACCTTGTTCCCAATTCTTCAACACCTCTTTCCATCTTCTAGAAAATGCACTAGTTCGAAAAACTTGTTTCAATGACAAAATATGGTGCAATATTGAATCCGGTAATACTGATATTCTGTCCATCTTATCAGTTCTCTTTATCACATCACAGCCCCTGTAGAACAAAAAAAAAATTAAGAAATCCTATTAGAAGACTATTAGTTTCAATAATTCTTAGGTTGAATACATTTAAACACTAAAGAGGTTCAGTTAAGAAGGTCTCCACAAGCAAAAACTAAAAAAAGTTATCCAGGAAGCAATCCAGTAGTATCCCTAGATGATAAATCTCAAGAAAATCAAATGCCTGTAAATAAGAACAGTTGACAAAGTTTAAATGGAAATCAATGTCTGGAACTAGGATGCTTTACACTGCACCTTCAATAGCGAAAGAGAGTTCAACAAGGTGAAATCGTCGATAAGATACTGAATATCGTGAATATCTTTGAAATGAGATAACCAGTCCGGATCTCATCCACGTTTTTCATGTATAAGTAATTTAGAGATTGTGAATTTTAAGCATGGAGATGTGAATTAGTCTAATTATTTTACTGTCAAAAGTACTAATTGAAGAGAAAAAAAGGTGTTGATATATCTACTTTGAATATAAGATGGATGCAACTGAAATTTATCATTAAACTCAATAAACATTGGCAATTCAACATGTATAAATTCTTAAAGATCCCTTAAGTACTTGAAACTTGCACAAATGTCCCTCCTCCAAGTCCCTTCATCACACTCGGACCACTTCCCTCCTCTTCTTGGCCCCAAAACTTTCATCTCTCCGACCAACATGTCAAACCCAATAGAATCCACTTCCCAAAATGTCTTGCGTTTCCTTTGACCATATTTACCAGATTTAAAAGAGAATGATTTATTAATTTCGGACTGCTTCCGCTTGTAAACGACGCTGGTCCAAAACCGAACCACAATTTATCCAGCCTTCTGGTTTTAGAATGGTAGTGGAATCCAAGGCGGGAGAGAATAGTAAGTGCATAAGAGGGCAAGGTTTTGATTTGGAATAGCTCTTTTTTTTTTTAAATGAACAGAGGTGTTCAGGCCAGTTTACGCGTACCTCAATTAATCTCTCGTTTATTTCACAATTTTTCCCCTATCTTATTTCTATCATATCCAAAATACACATTTGTTTCCCTATTCTGAAAATATTATCATATTTTATTCAATTATTTTAATCCCCCTAGATCTGTTAATTTAACTAAACACCCCAAAAAAATTTCGAAATTAACAAAAACACCCCACCAACCCACATTTGCTAGATTCTAGCCAATATCGCTGGAAGATGGTTGGAATCTGGTATAATGACGCACTACCGGCTGGATCTGGCCGATAGTGCATCGATCTAGCCTTTTTCAACCAGATCTGGCCGATAGTGCGTCGATCTAGCTTTTTTCAACCAGATCCATCGTGGATCTGGCCGAAAAATACCAAATCTACAACAAAAAATCTGGCCGACTGCAAGATCTTTGGTCGTAGCTAGTCATTAACGACAGCAAAGATATAGCCATCGTTGACGACCAAACGCGACCAAATCTAGCCGTTAATGGATCTAGCCATAAAAGGCCATATCGGCACACAACCGGCCATATCTAGTCGATTGTGTTTCGATACGGTGACTTCGACCATCCTCCGACGGTGGTGGTCGGCTATCGATATTTAATGGGTGGGTGAGAGTATTTTTGTTAATTTTTAATGTTTTATTACAGGGGTGTTTAGTAAATTAACAAACCTATGAGATCTTTTTATTAATTTTTAAATCTTACCTCATAATCACCACCAAATTTTATTTTTTTCAAAATATTATTCTAAAAAGTATCAAAATAATGAACCAAGTGCACTCTAAAACTACCGATTAGATAAGAATTCTAATAATTATCCTTATTAGCAATTGAAGATGGACTCAAACTTATGATCTAAGAGTTTCCTAGTAGGTGAAGTGTCAAAGCTTTCAACACGCTAATTATGCATGCTTGTTTAAAGTTTAGGGTGCAAATGGAATAATTGGGAATAATTGACTAATTGTCATTACATTTCATTTTAAATTTAGCCGAAATGGATCAATCAACTTTTAATTCTTGTCTCATTTATCATTTGAATTTTTTCTTTTGTGGCGTGGTTTTGTTGAAACATATTGGCTCTGCGTTCAATAAGCTATCTATTCCACATGGGTTTGAAAGCTTCTGACACTTCACCAACTACTACTTTTATTTGAAGTTGAAGCCTGTAATTTTTGACCTAACCCCGGCAACTACTCCCAAATTCAATCTCAAAAGTTAAAGCCTTGCTTAGTTGCTTTGTTTTTGGAAATGAATGACTAAGTAAATATGATTTGAGCAATGCTAGGTCTAGAGTCCAATCTTATAATTTTTAACATGATAGATTATCATCGATTAATTCACAA